CTGCCTTGTGTCCTCCAGTCTCTGGGGGGCGTTTTGTCACAGTTGTGCTTAGTTCAGTCTCTTTTGGTTTCAGTTTCATGGACTTTTAGTTTGTTCATAGTTTCCTTTTTCCTTTGTCTTAGCGTGGAAACGAACTCAATCATCACAGCTGTTCGTTATTAGTTCTTCATCAATGTGTTTTTAAGGTCCTCCGTGTGTACTCTTCATTTGTCTGGTATTGTTTGTGTAAGCCAGCAGAAAAAACAATCCGCACACGGTTAAATGCAGGGCTAAAACCTCCTCAAAAAATCTTTATTATAATGCTAAATCAGAGGCCGTAAAAAAGGGAAATGTGCAAAACGTTTTCGAGACAAAAGCTCTTCTTCAGTGGCACATTGATTTGTGCACACCTGCACTCTTTGTAACATCAGTATTCACCATGGACATCATAATATACATGCAGGCACAAAAAAGCACCATACAGTATATCCAATTATACCTTAAGACATTCATATATATATATATATATATATATTTTTTTTATTTTATTTTTTTTTATTTATTTATTTATTTTTTTTAATCGTAAAAATTCCTTAATGCAAAAATACCCTAATACAACATTATTAATGTAAAATGCAAAAAATAACATAATTTTACCCATAGATCTTAAAAATGTTTCTTATATACATACATTACAAAAAACAATTCTTCATTCATACCAAGGGGATATAAAGATCTCAAATTAAAAATTCATTTGCATTCTCTTTGTAAAAGGCGGCGTTCCATGTCACCACCCCTTCGAAACTGTGGTATGTGTTCTATTACCGTAAAATCCAAGTCCGCTATGGAATGTGCCGCTTCATTGAAATGACGAGCTACTGGAGATTTTATGTCCTTTCTCCTAATGGGGAAGTCGTGGCCTAATGGTTAGAAAGTCGAACTAGTAACCCAAAGGTTGCGGGTTTGCTGGGATTGTAGGTGGGGGGAGTGAATGTACAGCACTCTCTCTCACCTTCAATACCACAACTGAGGTGCTCTCTGAACCTCAACTGCTCCCTGGGTGCCGCAGCAAAAATGGCTGCCCATTGCTCCGGGTGTGTGTTCACGGTGTGTGTGTGTTCACTGCTGTTTGTGTGCACTTTGGATGTGATAAATGCAGAGCACTTATTCCGAGTATGGGTCACCATACTTGGCCACGTGTCACGTCACTTCACTAATGGAGCTCATATGTTCGATAATATGTGTTGTGATCGATCTACTAGTTTTTCCCACATACTGTTTATGACAGATTTAATAAAGACGTCTGTTACTTTGACTCTTCATTGTCTTCATCTGACCTGAAGCGTGATGGTAACAATGTAAGGAAATGTAGAGACCAGACCTTTCTTAGCTAATAAATCTGCTCCATATGAATGCTGAAGTGGGAACACTGTAGCCAGCAATAGGTCAAGAGACATAATACAATCTGAACAGTTTTATTTATGGTTGAAAACGTGTAAACACTTGCACTTGTAACTGAAAATTAGTTTGAGCTGACCCACAAAAGGGTGCTGATTAGTCTATGATTTCCCCCCACGAATTTCAGTGTTTAGATGTCTGAAATTACAGGCTTTATTTTTGTAATCACCATAATTTCCTGACTTGGGTATTCAGCAGGATAGTTAAAGGCCCTGCCCATTTATAACATGAAGAGTATGAATGAGGTATATGACAAAACCAGCTAATCATACCTTTATATATAAGGCAGGCATGAATAGAGCCAGGTAATCAGGAAACTCTCACAAATACATCAAAAAGTGATTTTGAGGACATATAATGGCATGCTCTTTTATTCGTGGTTGAATGAATAGATGGATAATGGAAAACAGAATAAATTTGAGATCAGCAAAAAGAAAAAAATACAACAAAAACAACAGATAATCTAAAGATCTTTAATGATCTGGCTTCATATGAAAGTTAGCAATTCAATTCTTGTTTTGCAGATCAAACTCGACACACCTTCATCTTGAACAGTACTTCATGTTCAGGGTTGAATAATCATTATTTAGTGTATGATTCATTGAATAATGATTCATTCTTTCTTAATTATAATAATTATAATCAACACTGTGCCATGATTTCTGATTGATACTCTCTGGAATAAGAAATAATACAAGTGCATAGTTATTATTTCTGTGAAAATAATCCACAATCATTGACTAAGTAACCCTAAGAGCCTTTTTGGAACACAGAAGATATTATGAAGAAATGTTTTGGACATAAAATTCAATGGGGTCCAAAACAACATTGGACACCACTGACTTTCACCGTACGGACAAAAAAAAACACACAGACATTTTTGAAAATTTCTCCTTTTGTGTTCCATAGTAGAAAGTAAAACTGATTCAGACTGATATGAAAATTGTGTACAACCCTAACTTTCACCAAACTCTTAAAGTTGTTCTAAGGAGCTCTGAGTCGGTGCCTTGAAAGCTGTCAACACTCCTAACCTCTGACTCAAGCAGAGCAACAACCAATACATAAAGCACAATCACTATTCCATTGCTGTCTTTAAGCTTTGCCCTCTATTTGTGCTGACAACCCATTTAACACTCTTAATGTAGCTGGTAGTCTACTGTAGGAACCTCAGGCTCTGGGAACTCCGAATAACTATGAACGCTCTCAATTATTCAACATGGTAGTGCAGGTTTTTCCAGATGCCTGTTATTGTTAGAAACAGCCCACTCTTTAGCACAGTGAAGTCTTTCTCACAACTTAAAATGATAGTTCACACTAAAATGAAAATTCTGTCAGCATTGCCATTTACTTATTGTTCCAAGTCTTTACGGGTTTCTTTTTTTGCTGTGGACTTTCATTGTTTATACAATGAAAGTCCTTACAGGTAAAGACAAAAAACACAGATTTTTTTTTCAAAATATCTTCTCTTGTGTTTCACAGAAGAAAGAAATGGTTTGAAGCGACATGAGGGTGAGTGCATGATGTACATACAGTAGTGCACAATACAAGACTGAAGATACGCTTTGAATATATATACATACATATACTGTATATATATACATACAGTATATATTGTTTGTTTTACAAGAAAATACTTTTTCAATCATTTTACTTCACAATTTCATGTTTAATTCAGTGTGTTAAGTGCTATTTCTTTGTAGTTATTTGTGAAATTTACTAGCAATTTCTGAGTGATTTTGTGTGTGTGTGTGTGTGTGTGTGTGCGTAAGTAAGCCACTAGTCTCTAAAAAATATAAAAAAGGCCCAGATAGCAGTTGACTTAAAGGAATTTCCCAACTAATAATAATGACAATATGAGCATGAGGTTTCTTTTTCTGTGTTGTGGGAAAACCGTGGCTCAGATGAAAATCGCAGCATTTAATCTCAGTATAATTTACCTTGCGTGTCACGCCAAAGGTGTGTTGATTTATTGACAGATTGTTACGTCACAGCCTCTCAGCTGCGAGCAATAATGCTGATTGTGCAAAATTTTTCCTGAAAGGCAAGTCGAACACTGTCACCATGACAATATGATGAAATGTATTAACTAATAATAGTCTGATATCCTCCTGGGAGGTGATATAAAGGTTATTTTCCAATTTTGATTCGTAAAGACCAGCACAGCAGGGATATGACTTCACCTTCTCTGTTTGTATTAATTTGCTTCAGACTGCCTGCTGAAACATTAATGCCTGTCTCAGTTTCACTGTTTCTCACTGAGGCAGGGGTCCCGCTGCCCAGCAGACAGCACAGATTGCACTTTGCCTGAGAGGAATAGAGACAGTAAGAGTGAAAGAGCGAAAAAATATTAATAATTTTAAAATAATAGAGAAATAATGAACTATAATAATAAACTTTTCAAATTGTATTTCATAAACCAACATCTCAGACCTTATGTCAAAACGTTATGGGGTTTCAAATCAAAAAATGACTTTCTGTTACAGAACAGGGCATTAATTTCATACATGTCCACTGTAGAGGACATTAGGACTTAAATCATGTTTATCAGGCATTTTGGGAGACACAACAAGTGAATATGGAAATAAATTATGCATCAATATTCCTATCAAATATTAGATATTATTATTAAAATGTTGCCAATTATTACTCCAATTATTACACTTCTTTTTTTCATTAAATGTTGCTCCAAGAACACATTAATATGCAAATTAGATACAGTGTATAGTGTATATTTATTTAAGTTCTGATAATTTATATTGTCATATTTTGTTCCGAATTGTGTTCATTGTCTCTTGGCAATGTTGGAGGTGGAGATTGTGCACCTTAAAAAGTGTGTTTCCTGTTGTAATTGCAATAGTTTCTCTTAAGTGTGTTTTCTCTTAAGTGTGTGAAAGGGGTAATTCAATGTAGAACCGCCACTGCTTTTATTAATCTGGGGGTAGGGGATTTGTGGACATATTAATTTATTTCGATTTGTAGGATATCAAATATTTGTATTACTTTTTTAATGTTGTTTTTATTAATATTTTATTTAGAAGTGAAAAGTTAAAGTGAGACACTTAGGGTGACTGAAGAGCCTCAGTGGCCTCATTTTTTATTTTTTTTGAATACTTGATCTGTCAAACAACATAATTACATTTATGACAACAAAACAAATAAATAAATCATTAAAATTGACATAAGATGTATTTTTATATATTCAGAAAAAATATATAATTATATTAAATTATATTTTATGTGTGTGTGTTTGTTTTTATTTTTTATACAGTATAACAGTAAATACACACTACACTCCACTACAACAAAACAGGCACCAAAATGCCTCCTGTAACGCCTGAAATGTTGTCACTGTATTTTCACAGTGAACTTGTGCCAACAAAAGCTGCCAGCTTTTACTGTAAATTTAACAGGCTTTTTATATAGTGTGTAAGAGAATCCACATCTCATCCTTTTGTCTCTCGCTCTCGCTCTCGCTCTCCTTTCTCTCCAGCTTTCTCTTTCAGAGCTAAACTGAACTGAAGCTAGTGGGATTAGTTCTGGACTGGCTACTGTCGACTATTGGAACACCCTCTAGAGGCTGCAGGAGGAGAGCGCCAGCACTGGCAGATCAATACAATGGAAGAGAGAGAGAGAGAGAGAGAAAAAGACAGGGGGTATAGAGGCATAGGGAGGGTAGAAGAAGGAAAGAGAACGAGAAGGGGGGTGTCGCTGGGCGAGGGAGGGAGACACAGTGATAGTGTGCATGTGTGTGAGAGAGGAGGGTGCGAAAGACGGATAGACAGAGAGAGACCGATTTAGAGCGAGAGCAAGGTGCACACGTTGCTCAGCCTTCTCATTGCAGCCGCGACAGGCAGCCTGAAAGGAGCTCCAATCTAACCGGTGGCAGCAATAGACTACTGAAAACACAGCTTGACCGATCAATAGACCTTTGCCAGAAACATTGTGAGAGGGAGAAAACTGCTCAAGGACCAGGGAAAAGCAGATAAGGTGAAGATCTAAAGGCAATTACAACACCGGCTTCCAAAACTAGGTAAGTTGAGCGTCTTGTGTTTAATAAGTGTTCTCTTCTCATAGCAGCTGTGCTGTACTGAAGGGGTCTGACTGGGGAATGGGAGGGTGCTCAGGTAATTAATTGGTTTGTGTGTTGTGCATCAATCAAAACATTATCATTCTGAGCTTCAGACCGAATGTCACATTACTAAAGTCACATCAGGGAGCAGACCTGGTCTGGTGTAACCAAAGCTGTATTCTTCTTCGATTACATTATTTGAATATGCATTTAGTAGATTTCGTTAAAGCAGTACTCCAGAAGTAGGATCAGTTTTATGCATTCATGTTGTTTTGAATGATTCACAAGTGCAAGTACAGTGAGTAAAAACATTGCATGGATGGTTTTAAAGAAGTTGGTTTCATATGCTCTTTTGACGCAAGTTATGATTGCAGAATTTTACTTTCAGCATTTGTCATTTAGATAATGATATAGAATATAGTTAAAGAGTATAATAAATCTTCTATTTGATGCATTCAAAAATATGTGGAACTATATACTGTATAAGCAAACTGCATGTACAGTAATATAGATCATAATATATAAAGTATAAGAATATGTAAAAATATGAATTATTTTTTTATGTATTAATTTTATGTATTATATATTGTGGTCTATTACTGTACATAGAGGACGTACAATATGTATTCATATTTATTTAATATACAAATTAGAATATCAGAACAGTTTGAATATATATATATATATATATATATATATATATATATATATATATATATATATATATATATATACATATATTAAAAATATA